CCATCAAAGCAATGTTTTTGTTTGCAGCTTAGTGATATGCAACACCTTATAGTGCAAAGGAGGGATGAGGAATGGGGTGGGCTATGGGTTGATGTAGAGGAGAAAGAGGAAATACCGGATAAGAGTTTTTTAAAGGTTATAGTTAGCTCTAAGGTGAGGAATATAGTATTCTGTTATAGTAATTAGGCTGTTAATCATAGGAACCTTTGACAAAACCCGCAACCCCAACTGTTAGTAACACTCCAGTAAGAGCCTGTGTGAATGGTGCTAGGATTACTAATGTTGTACGCTCACCATGTATTAATGGAACTCAAGACAAAGTTACAATTGAAATGGTATGCATACTGTACAGATGGTTTAATTGTAACAAAATTATACACAATAAAATTAATAATGGTATCATTGGTTAATCCAAAACCATATATTTGCTAACCACAGAATCCATACAATAGGCCCCTAACTGTTTGCTTCTTAGCCCAGGCCCAGTTCATTATCTATGGACCCGTAGTTCATGTTATATTTTCCTATGATTTTATATAGGAGATTTTGGATATTGATGAAAAAGCAAAAATATTTACTAGAAGTGAAGAAAATCTGACTCAATATCAGAAGGAAATTAATTCAGCTAGCATCGAACTTTGCCGTATAAACCCAACCTTATTGATGGGTGGGAAGGGAGATCTCCTTAAGCTAGCTAGAGAGAGAGTGCACAATAATGGCTATATCTACAAAAAAGGTAAAAGTCGAGCAAAGCGAGTGTGTTCCTCAACTGATGATGTTAGTACTTCTGAAAGTGGTATAGCTGAAGGTGGTAAAGCAAAACGAGTCAGAATTGATGGGCATGAAAGAGAGTTAAGAATCGATCATTTACTCGATCAAATTGCTGACATAGAAAAAAGAATTACATTTAAACAGTGCAGAATCGATTCTGCTGCGGCCTCAAGCAACTTTAAAGCTTGTGACGAGCTCTCACAAGAATTGTCTGACTTAAAAACCCAAAAGCATGAACTAAATTGCTTGTTGGTTCCACTTCAAAAAAAGTCAGCAAAATCTGCCTGGTATTATAGAATGAAGAAACAAAAGAATGGAGATGAAGCGGATGTTAGTGATAATTTGTTGGATACATCACGGGAGACTAGTGTAGAGTCTAATGATGGAAGTGGCCCGAGTTTTTTACATCAGAGCCTCCCTACAGAGACTCAACAACAGCTACAGTAGGGAGGCCACATGATCTTTTGACTATATATAAAGAACAAAGTAAACGTAACCTTACTCCAGTTGTAATATGTGATGGTATTTATGTAACTGCATTTAAAGGCCTTACTTTAACTGATTATATTGAAACTAGGAAAAGTTACTGTTCGTCTTATCATAATCGTTGTCCTTGTAAGTGTTTAAAACTGTTGTATGTTGCTGAAACTATTTGTACTACAGGATTTCTAAAGCTAAAAGAAGCATTTACCATTTCATTTCCTACTACAAGTTATAATTCATTTAGTGCAAGACGTCTATTTTTGCAAATGCCACTGGTATGTTTACGGCTGGACTTTATGCCTGGCAGAAGTGAGTGTGTTTTAATCGAATACCATGAGGGTGTTAACTACAAAAACCTCTTGCAACTTCTTCAAAATGTAATTCCAAAGTCTTCAGTTGCAAAAATGGATAAATCTCTTCTTCAGTCATTGCTAGGTCTTTGTCAAAGTGACAGAGAGAAAGAATGCTTACGCTTTGCAGTCTTTAAAGCTTCTGGCTTAAGTTCTACACAAGCTCGTGCACAGTTTGGACTTGAAAATATGAATTTGCGAGCAAAAAAGGTGGAAGATTCTATTATTCATGCACAGTACATTCGCACTGCTATAGAGAAGTTAGCTTTGACTACTGAAAAAGCAGTACTACAAAGTCTTGGGCTGAGTTGTGGTAATGAAGAATTAATTAGTGAAAGTAGTGATGAAGAAAGCAGTGATGTACCTACTCAATGCAGCAATTCCTCTCCTCTCACTCCTACTAACTACCCAGCTTCTCCTTCTTGTACTGATTTCTCTCTCAATGATATGAATGTTATTGTCCAAGAGTGTCAGCTAAACTGGTTTGAAATAGTTGAACAGTTAGAGAAAATGTATGGTACTCAGTGTAGTCATATTAATCACATAAAAGAGTCAATTGAACATTTGAATATTAGTGTACGTGAGAAAGAGAAGCTAAGAATATCCTATCAAGCATTTATGTTAGACAAAGAGGATCAAGCTGCAAGTCAAAGAGAAGCTGATATTTATAATGGAGAAATTGTCACAGAAAGCGATAGTGATGATCCCAATGCAATTCTAGCTGCAAGGACTCCTCTCGATCCATGTTTGAAGAAAACAATAGTGAAAAAGAGGCTCTCTGTTAAACGGTGGGCACAACGCTTAAAAGCCAAACGAATTGAAGAGCAGCATTTTCTTGGGCGTCAAGTTTCGAAAAGACATGACTCAATAGTTACAAAATATCCAGATATTGGAGAAACGATTGAATCCTTTGTACAGGACAATAATGTTGGGGCTGAAGCATGGCGAAGGACGGGTGTGTTGACGTTTGATGGGAATGTAAAGAAGAAGCAGAAGATCACATATGAAAAAATTAGAAAGCATCTAGAAAGTATTTATGGAAGGAAATTTTCCTATGGAACAGTTGTACAATTATGTGTCGCTAGAAACAGACGGCATAGATCGTCTTCTCGTTACAAAGGTGTTGCCAAAGTAACTACAAGACGTGCAAGAAAAGGCTTCCAGTTACGCTATAACCCTGATTTTCATTGGTCAAATGCCTTATATTCAGGACTCAATTTCATTCAGCTTGTTGATGGAAGTGATATATTAAATATTAATAGAGACGATGCATCAGGATTCAGGCTGGATACTTTAGCAACGCACAAGCAATATGCTGTACCAACAGTCACAGGCAATAGTGTTCTTACCACACATACTGACTATGTTACTAAATATCCAAGTGTACTTCAAACCACGTCCTACAATTTTTCAAAAACAGGTAACTGTGATGAGGTAAGATGCATGCAACATTACAGTATAGGAGCTATATTTTTGTGGAAAATAGATTTTATGTTTTGCATAAATTTGTGAATTTAACTTTCCCTTAAAGGTGTGGCACCATCGAAAAAATGGCTGTAGAAGGGAAATTTATTGTTATGAATATACCCATAAATTATACTCCTTATACAGTAATAAATAAATTTGTTTATTTTGAAGTTATAACTAATTTTAGATAAATCGTTTTGATGATTATTTATTGTGCTTTGCAATGTAATTGTTATTATTTTTATCCTGCAGGTAATACACCTGAAGTTTGCATTGGTGTGGTGAAGGCCCTTCCAGTTCATTCGAAAAGTCCTGCGCAACATGCAGCTGATTTTGCCATGTTAATGAAGAAAGAAGAATTTAATTCTGTATTTTATTCACCAAGTGGTCAAGCAAAGAGTATTGTGTGTGCACGAGTTGACGGTGCAACAGATGAAGGTCCAGCTCATGAAGAAGTGCAGTTTTTTTGGACACTAGATCATATACAGAATGAGAGGGTGGCAACTCTAGTAACTGCTCGAAGCAGTGTCTAGT